CCCAAACATTTAATTTTGCTACAAGAAAATCACAGTACACTTATACAATGCAGAAGTGGCTCGGCGCGCGGTGGCTCAAGCCTCGCAATCTCACACTTTGGAGCTGAATGGGTGATCCACGAGGCCAAGGAGATCGAGACCCACTCCTGCGCTCACACACGGTGAAACCACTTTACTAAAAAAATAACAAAAAACTAAGCGGCGCAGTGGCGGGCGCGCCCTGTAGTCCCAGCCTACGCACGCTGAGGCAGGAGAATGCGCGTCACGGCAGGCCGGCGCTTGCATGACCCTGAGACTCTGGCCCTGCCTCCACTCCTGGTTGACAGAGCGAGACTCCCATGCTCCAAACACACACAAACAAACAAACAACAAACAACCAAATAAACAGTGCAGCAAGTGTGAACACACAGCTATTCCGAGACATGCTGACAAACCCAGTGAAAGAGATCAGCTGTAAACTAAAGACATAAGCAAATTTTTTCAACCAAGAATACATGGGTGGCCGGGCGCCACGGATCATGCCTGTAATCCCAGCTACTTGAGAGGCTGAGGCAGGAGAATCGCTCAAACCCGGGAGACGGAGGTTGCAGTGAGCCAATATTGCACCATTGCACTCCAGCTTGAGCAACAAGAGTGAAACTCCATCGGAAAAACTAAATAAATAAATAAAAATACTTGGGTGCTTTTAGAATAGCGTTAAATGTTGGGGAAAAGCTGAGTGTTGGAGAAAAGCTGAGGCAGGGCTTGCTAGTCTGACATAATATAAAAAGAGTCTTGGAACATGCCGGGGTCCAGGGTCTAAAACCCCTTGCGGCCTTTGGAATACCAAGCTCTGTGCCAAAGGGTGGGAGGCTGCCCCGCCGCATTACAAGCATTACAATCTCAGCCCAGGACATAAAACCTTAAAGGGGTCCAGCCCCTCCACACCTCTGGGTATTTCCTATCTGGTGGGATGAGACACTGAGAAAAGAAATAAGACACAGAGACAAAGTACAGAGAAAGAACAGTGGGCCCAGGGGACTGGCACTCAGCATAGGGAGGACCTGTGCGGGCCCTGGCCTCTGAGTTCCCTCAGTATTTATTGATCACTATCTCTACCATCTCTCACTATCTCTACTATCTCAGTGAGGGGGATGTGGCAGGACTACAAGGTAATGGTGGGGAGAGGGTCAGGAGGAAAACATGTGAGCAAAGGTCTCTGTGTCATAAATAAGTTTAAGGAAAGTGCTGTAACTCGATGTGCATGTAGGCTAAATTTATGTTTGACTTTACATAAATATCTCCGTGCAGTAAAGAGTAGTATTGCCGCCAGCGTGTCTCACCTCCAGCCATAAGGTGGTTTTCTCCCATCTCAGTAAATAGAATGGACAATTGAGTTTTACACCGAGACATTCCATTCCCAGGATGACCAGGAGACAGATGCCTTCCTCTTTCACTAATCCGCCTCAGCAAAGACCCTTTACAGGTGTTAGGCTGGGGGATGGTCAGGTCTTTCCTTTCTCATGAGGCCATATCTCAGGCTACCTCAGTAGGGAGAAACCTTGGACAATATCCAGGCTTTCTTCGGCAGAGGTCCATGCGGCCTTCTGCAGTGCATTGAGTCCCTGGGTATTTGAGACTGGAGATTGGCGATGATTTTTACCAGGCATACTGCCTGCAAACACATTTTTAACAAAGCACATCCTACACAGACCTAAATCCAGTAAACCTTGAGTCAACACAGCACATGTTTCTGTGAGCACAGGGTTGGGGCTAGGGTTACAGATTAACAGCATCTCAAGGCAGAAGAATTTTTCTTAGCACAGAACAAAATGGAGTTTCTTATGTCTGCTTCTTCCTACATAGACACAGTAACAGTGTCTCTCTTTCTTTTTCCCACAAACCCCTCGTGGCTTGGATGGAATCCAGGGCTCAGGGCATAAAACCCCTCATGGCCTCTGGAATGTGCCTAGACTTGCTGGTTCCGTGCTTTTAGCACTTCCAGGCTCAGAAAACGGTTGTATCTTAAACTAGAGGAACATGTTCCCCATGATCTCAAGTAGCAGAACATGTTCCATATAAATGCTAAACCACACACCTGTAGATCATGTGCTGGATGCACCACTTCCTTTCAACCCCCATGGCCTCACCACCTGCTTCTTTGTTTGACCACCAATAAATAGTGTGGGCTTCCAGAGCTGGGGTCTTTTGTAGCCTCCATACTAGCGTTGGCCCCCTGGACCCACCTTATGCATCCTTAACTTGTCTTTTCTCATTCCTTTGACTCTGCTGGACTTCGTAGCCCCTGCAGCCTGGTGTTGGGTGTGGCCACCCCAACAGTTCCATGCCAATCCAGCCCATCTTTCAACATTAGTCCAGAAGGGACCAGAGGGCCCTGAGGGAAGCATGCACTTAATAGCTCACGGCTCAAGATGTTCACAGATAACACAAGGAAAGAAAACTGAAAAACAGACTAACTGGTTAAACTACATTTTGATGTTAAGGTAAAAGGTCACTGACATCTTTACCAGGTACACATCAAAACAAACTTCTGTATTAGGTACTAAAGGTTTTCAACAAATAATAAAGACTGGAAAGCATGCAGACCTTGATCTGAACCAGACACAACTAGTTTCAAACAGAAACTATTTTGAAATTGCTTTTTAAAAAATTTAACAAATTCTGGGGTCATCAGGAAAATAACTGGAATATACACTTGTACAGAAAAAAAAAGATGTGAGCTGATTAGAGCATGTGACAAAGGCATCTTTCAGAAATGATTATGTATTTTTCTTTCTTTTACATCACAACCTGCTTTTTAAAGACATTATGCATTAAGCTCACATTCCCTTAAATATTGTTTCCAAAGCTGCTCAGCCTCTAGCCCAGCTGGAATCTCCAGGAAGAGGCAGAGAGAGTTTGAGAAAAAAGACGCAGGGGAGGACAGGGTGGTGAAAAGAGAAAGCAGCCTTCCACACCCCAATTTACACGCTTCACCGTATCCTAAAGTTGCAAGCAGCACCTGAAATCATCACTAATGAAACAGAAAATACATTCGACTTACCGGCCCAGCAAGCCACGAAAATGAGCAATGCCATCTACCAAAATAGATTAACTTTAGACTACCTCCTAGCCCAGGAAGGAGGAGTATGTAGAAAGTTTAATCTAACTAATTGCTGCCTAGAAATCCATGACAATAGGAAGGCTATTATAGAAATAACTGCCAGAGGCCAGGCGCGGTGGCTCAAGCCTGTAATCCCAGCACTTTGGGAGGCCGAGTCGGGTGGATAACGAGGTCAGGAGATCGAGACCATCCTAGCTAACACGGTGAAACCCCGTCTCTACTAAAAAATACAAAAAAAACTAGCCGGGCGAGGTGGCGGGCGCCTATAGTCCCAGCTACTCGGGAGGCTGAGGCAGGAGAATGGTGTAAACCCGGGAGGCGGAGCTTGCAGTGAGCTGAGATCCGGCCACTGCACTCCAGCCTGGGCGACAGAGCGAGGCTCCGTCTGAAAAAAAAAAAAAAAAAAAAAAAAGAGAGAAAGAACTGCCAGAATGAAAAAATTAGCCCAAGTTCCAGTCCACACTTAGAAAAAGTAGGCTCCTGAGTCCCTCTTTAGAGGCTGGTTTTCCTCCTTCAGTAGGTTCAAAACCTTAATAGGAGTAGTTCTAGCCATGCTAAGAATTTGTTTAATACTCCCTTGCCTCTTACCTCTCCTTGTTAAGAACATTCAATCAACGATAGAAGCAATTGTAACCAGGCAGACTACCACTCAGCTAATAGCTCTATGTGAATATCAGCCTGTGCCTAAAGAAAACCTGCTCTTTCATGAAGAATCCAGTAACAGTGATGCTTTCTGTTAAAATCTTGTTTATAACAAGCATCTAAGGGAGGAAACTGAGGTAGAAATTTTAAAAATAAATATGCATTCATTCACTCCAAGAAAAGTAACGGGCAAGGCAAAGGTTAAAAAGAAAAGAAGAACCAGTTTTCCTCTGCCTAGCAAGCTCACTTCAAGAACAGTTATAAGATAACGCTGTTTGCAAAGCCGAAGGCAAAGGAACGGGCTCCAGACAGCTCCCCACCTTCTCAGAACAAGGGTGAAATAAAAAAAAAAAAGGACAAATCTGTGTATTTAGCTGTTCTTGTTTTTCTTTCAACGCAGCTACAAGGCCACCAGCGATGGAAGGACACAAGTTACGCTATGCTATAGATTACCTGACCTATCAATATATGATTAACTGCTTTTATTCAGCTTCTGAAAGCAAAAAACCCCCACTCTGTGTTTGTTGAAATGCTCAGCTTTTTTGATGTAAACCCACGGAGCCAGTGCCTACCTTAAATAAACATCATCCTGTCTCCCCCATATCAGTCTCTTCTCAGTTTCCCACAACACCATCTCTGCGCCTTCTCTGCTCTCTCCATTACATTCTCTCTTCCCTGTTATACCGCCCTGACCCTAGGTTCTAGCAGCCTAGATCCCCAGGTGTCCTCCCTGCTGTGGTTCTCCTTCTGTTCTCTTTGCCACCAGCACCACTCTGTCTGCCCCAGCTCCAAGTGCTTCCTCCTCTCCTTCACTCTGATGAGCCTCCCTCTTTGCTGCCCCTCTCCCTACATTGCTGTCCTTCATCTCTCTGTACATCTAGCTTTTCTCTACATTTCTCCAGTTGCTCTTCTCCTCCTGCTTTCTTACCGTTTTCTTTTCACTTTTGCTGCCTCTCGGCAAATCCCTCACCCATCCTCTACTTTGCCATCTGTTATGGGTCTTTCTCATTCTTCTTTTCTGTCTCAGGTTTTCTACTGCTCTCTCTCCGTCTCCTGATCCCTTTGGCCCACACAATCACAGGAGGGTTTGGAGTAAGACGCCTGCATCCCGGGGGTGCGCATTTTCCAGGGGCTGGAGCTGGGCAGGCAAGAACACCCCGTGTCACAGGACAGACCCCGGGAACCTCCCCAACGAGGGCTCGGGGAAGCGGTGACTGTGGAGCGGAGACCTGTGGAGCAGCAGGGCCCCGCACGAGGACGGGGGTAAAGGGGCGATGGCGCCTTAAGACAGATGTGGGGTGGGGTCTGCAGGATCCCAGGACAAGGCAGAGGACGCGGCCTTCCCGGGACTGGGGCAGCGGCGCTGCGCTCCAGGGGCCTACGAGGGTGAGAATCCACCACTCCGGTGAGGACTTTAAAAAGCGCGGGGCGGGAGGAGTCAGAAAAAGGTTTAGAGCAGGAAAACTACGCGTAGAAAGTGTATACGTTGCCCTATAGCAGAAAGACGCGGGACGGGACCAGCCTCAGGGCGACCTAAAACCCAAAAGGAAGCGACCCCCGGCCTCTCACGGGGATGTCTCAATTTGCTCTGGGTGAAGGACGACGGCTGAGAATTTCCAGGTTTGTGGGGATCCCAGGTCCCAGCTGCGGAAGCGCCGGGGACCTGGGAAACGCAGACAATAGAAGTCAGGGCGAAACTCACGGGCCGCGTTGGAACCGTCACTCCACGAGATCCGCTTCCTGGTCTGCGCGAATCTGCGCGCGCAGGACAGAAGCCAGGCCTGGGCGGGACCCGCGAGGAGGTGGGCGGGGCCTGGGCGAGGTAGGGGCGGGGCGCGAGGCGGAGAGACTTTGCGCTTTAGAACCCGCAGCGGGCGGGGCCGGGGCGGGACCTGTGCGCCTCTCAGCCTTGTTCCCAGCACCTCTGTTTCCGGGTTTTGGAGGCGAGACCGGCCGGGAAGGCTGAGGCATGATTCAAAAGCCCTGGAATTGTCTGGAACGGGGATACAAACTACAATGTAAAATGCAAGGCCCGGCCTGGGCGGAAGGTAGGATTTCATGCTGAGGGCCCATAGAACAGAATAGAAATCCTCTCCCTTTCTATTCTCCATTCACTCGGGAGGGAGAGTCCATCCTGTGCTCAGCTTCAGAGATTTCCCTAAAGCCACCCCTTGGGATGCAGGACGGAGTGCTCAGGCCAGAGAGGTGTGAGATTACAGCTTGTTGGATAAACACAGCAAGGATGCTGGGGCGGGGGCGGGAGCCTGAGGTCCCAGCTACTCAGGAAGCAGCGGTGGGAGGATCACTGAGTCTGGGCGTTCAGGCCAGCCTGGGCGACAAAGTAACACTCCCTCTGGCAGGGCCCCCTTCCTCGTCTCTCTTTTTTTTTCCTTCGTTTTCTTTTAACGTTTTAAAATACAATTTTGGTGGTGTGAGATACAGATCCAACAGTATTCCGTGTGGATATCCAGTTAGTTGTCCCAGCACATTTGTGGAAGAGATCTATTACTTTCTTTTACTTATTTATGTACTTATTTCTTTTCTTTTGTTTTGAGACAGAATATTTGTCTGTCACCCAGGCTGGAGTGCAGTGGCGGGATCTGGGGTCACTGCAGCCTCTGCCTCCTGGGTTCAAGCAATTCCCCTGCCTGAGCCTCCGGAGTAGCTGCTATTACATGTGCGTGCCACCATGCCCGTCTAATTTTTATATATTTGTACGTGGGTTCACCATATTGGCCAGGCCGGTCTCAAACTCCTGACTTCAAGTGATCCACTTGCCTCTGCCTCGGAAAGTGCTGAGAGTACAGGCGTGAGCCACCGCGCCTGGCCCAACAAATGCTGTTTACTTGACTTTCTAATTGTTGAGAAAATTTAATCGAAAGCTATGGGTAAAAGAAAGAGAGATCAGACTGTTACTATGTAGAAAGAAGTAGACATAAGAGACTCCATTTTGTTCTGTAATAAGAAAAATTCTTCTGCCTTGAGATGCTGTTAATCTGTAACCCTAGCCCCAACCCTGTGCTGGCAGAGACATGTGCTGTGTTGACTCAAGGTTTAATGGATTTGGGGCTATGCAGGATGTGCTTTGTTAAACAAGTGCCTGAAGGCAGTATGCTTGGTGAAAGTCATCGCCATTCTCTAATCTCAAGTACCCAGGGACACAAACACTGCGGAAGGCCGCGGGGACCTCTGTCTAGGAAAGCCAGGTATTGTCCAAGGTTTCTCCCCATATGATAGTCTGAAATATGGCCTTGTGGGAAGGGAAAGACCTGATCGTTCCCCAGCCCAACACCCGTAAATGGTTTGTGCTGAGGAGGATTAGTAAAAGAGGAAAGAAGGCCTCTTGGCAGTTGAGATAGAGAAAGCCATCTGACTTCTGCCCGTCCCTGGGCAATGGAATGTCTGGGTGTAAAACCTGATTGTATGTTCTATTTACTGAGATAGGAGAAAACTGCCTTAGGGCTGGAGGTGAGCCGTGCTAGGGGTAATGCTGATCTTTATGCATGGAAGATGTTTATGGAGATGTTTGCATATATGCACATCAAAGCACAGCACTTTTCCTTAAACTTATTCATGACACAGAGATCTTTATTCAAATGTCTTCCTGCTGACCCCCTCCGTACTATTACCGTATTGTCCTGCTACTTCCCCCTCTCTGAGATGGTAAAGATAATGATCAATAAATATTGAGGTAACTCAGAGATGGGTGCCAGCGTGGGTCCTCCGTATGCTGAGCGCCGGTCCCCTGGGCCCACTTTTTCTTTCCCTATACTGTGCCTCTGTGTGTCTTTCTTTTCTCAAGTCTCTCGTCCCACCTGTCGGGAAACCCACAGGTGTGGAGGGGCAGGCCACCCCTTCAGAAAACAAAACAAAAAAGTCTTCCCCCAAATGACAAATCATCTGCATGACAATAATAGAGAAAAATAAAAATCATTTCATTAATAAATAAGCCTTAGACCTGATTGTAATGGGAAATAGAGGCAAACAGCTAAGAGGCTGAAAAAAGAGAAAGAAATTTCACTTTTCTATACAACAATTAACTTCATGTTTTCAAGTTAAACACTAATCAGGCCTCAGGGAAGAGGAGTTGACAACACGGTTGGTCATACATAGTTCATCCTGCCTCTACTTGGTAATGAAGGTTGTAGGGTCCAGCCTTACCGGGCTTAGCGGGTGTTCTCCCCATGTGCAGAGACGAGAGATTGTAATAAATAAAAGACAAAGAGATAAAGAGGAAACAGCTGGGCCCAGGGGACCACTGCCATCTACACGTGGAGACCGTTAGTGGCCCGTAAGGACTGGGGCCACTGATATTTATTGCATACAAGACAAGGGGTCAGGGTAAGGAGGGTGAATCTTCTAAGTGATTGACAAGGTGAAGCAACTCACGTGATCACAGGACAGGAGATCCTTCCATTTTAGGTAACTGAAGCAGAGAGAGAGAAGGCAGCATACATCAGTGTTTCTTCTATGCATTTATGAGAAAGACCAAAGACTTGAAGACTTTCACTATTTTTTCTACTGCTGTCCACTACGGACTTCAAAGAGGAACCAGCAGTATGGGAGGAACATAAAACTGGATGAGGAGCATGACCATTGAAACACAGCACCACAGGGAGGGATTTAGGCCTCCGGGTGACTGCGGGCAGGCCTGGATAATATCCAGCCTTCCACAAGAAGCTGGTGGAGCAGAGCGTTCCCTGACTCCTCCAAGGAAAGGAGACTCCCTTTTGCGGTCTGCTAAGTAATGGGTGTCTTCCCAGACACTTCCATTACTGCTTGACCAAGGAGCCCTCAAGCGGCCTTATGCGGGCATGACAAAAGGTTCATCTCTTGCCTTCTAGGTCACTTCTCACAATGTCCCTTCATTACCTCACCCTACACCTGCTGGTTATTCCTAGGTTGTATTGGTAATGCAACCAAGAGTAATATTAAAAGCTAATGATTAATAATGTTTACAATAATGATTGATAATTGTCCGTGATCATCTCTATATCTAACTTATATTTGACTATTCTTATTCTAACTATTTTCTTTATTATATTATACTGAGACAGTTTGTGCCTTCAGTCTCTTGCCTCAGCATCTAGGCAATCTTTTGCCCATAGGAGGTGACCATCTGTCTCAGCTAATTAGCTTCATTCTGAGGGAGGGGGAGAAACCCTAACCCAGGTCTTTTTGACAAGTGTGAATTTTGCACCATGGTGACAGTTGCCCTCTCTGGTGAGGCTCCTACAATCTGACAGAAACTGATGTCAGTAGTAAATAATAAAATTTAGAATATATGATTAAGTCTAGAGTTTATTTGAACACAAAGCGTGAGGACAGCCACCTGGAAACATCAACTCCAAAGGAATGGGATCAGCGTTCCCAAGTAGAGATGTTAAGTTTTCACACACAGAGAAAGACAGAGAAGCTTTAGCAGAATCACCACATTTTCCATTCAAGACCAGTGGGTAGGATAGGGTGCAACAAGTTGATTGGTGATGGGTTGATGTACTTCAAGGAAGGTTACTTTATCACTTGATATAAAGGGGCAATGATCCAAGGAGGTCTTAGCTCTGGGGCTGCTTAGTCTTTCTATTTACAGAAACAATCTTTTTTTTTTTTTTTTTTTTTTTTTGAGACGGAGTCTCGCTCTGTCGCCCAGGCTGGAGTGCAGTGGCCGGATCTCAGCTCACTGCAAGCTCCACCTCAGGCAATTCTCCTGCCTCAGCCTCCCGAGTAGCTGGGACTACAGGCGCCGGCCACCTCGCCCGGCTAATTTTTTTTGTATTTTAGTAGAGACGGGGTTTCACCGTATTAGCCAGGATGGTCTCGATCTCCTGAACTCGTGATCCGCCCGTCTCGGCCTCCCAAAGTGCTGGGATTACAGGCTTGAGCCACCACGCCCAGCCTTTTTTTTTTTTTTTTAAGATGAAGTCTTGCTCTCTCACCCAGACTGGAGTGCAGTGGTGCGATCTCGGCTCACTGCAAACTACACCTCTCGGATTCAAGCAGTTCTCCTGCCTCACCTTCCCAAGTAGCTGGGATTACAGGCAGACACCACCACGCCTAGCTAATTTTGTTTTCATTTTGTTCTTTGAGACAGAGTCTCGTGGTGTTGCCTAGGCTGGAGTGCAGTGACATGATCTCAGCTGCTCGCTGCAACCTCTGTCTCCCAGGTTCAAGTGATTCTCCTGCCTCACCCTCCCGAGTAGCTGGGATTACAGGAGTGCACGACCACGCCCAGCTAATTTTTTTATTTTTTTGTAGAGACGGGGTTTCACCATGTTGGCCCGGCTGGTCTTGAACTCCTGACCTTGTGATCCAACCGCTTCAGCCTCCGAAAGTGCTGGGATTACAGGCATGAGCCATCGCACCCTGCCTGACAAATACATATTTTTATGAGCATTTTAAATGTAAAACTAGCCTGCCACATCTTTGTAAGTACCTGGTTTCCATGTTGCAATTTTTTCACTTTGAATATTTAAATACCTTTTGTTTAGTCTGTCTAGGGTCCAGCCCTACGGGGCTTAGCTGGTGTTCTCCCCGTGTGCAGAGACGAGAGACTGTAATAAATAAAGACACAAGACAAACAGATAAAGAGAAAACAGCTGGGCCCACAGGACCACTTCCATCAAGACGCGGCGACTGGGCTGGGCACGATGGCTCACGCCTGTAATCCCAGCACTTTGGGAGGTCTAGGTGGGCAGA